TGTGTGCTTGTGAAGAGGTAATCTTAGTGATGGGGATAGAGCCACAACGATAACAGATTTGGTTTTCAACAATGATTTGAATCCTCCTCTTAATTAATTACAACTCTATTTCATTTTACACAGGTCAGAGAAGGAAGCGCACACGACACAATCGAGCGCAAACTGTGATCCTAGAAGCGAAATTTCAAGAAATCAAATATATCGAACGCCACCTTGTTGAAGAGTTTAGTAAACAAACCGATTTAAATCCATCAAAGGTAAGTCTCTAAATTTAACATTTACAATTTGATATGTAAATTGGCCAAAACGAATACCTACGTGGTTGTATAAACTGAGTTAAGATGCAGGCCCGATGTCCACATTTTATGCTACGGCTAAAACGTGTGCCAACTTCTAGCCTATAAGGTGTTGCATGAGTTAAGGAGGGAATAAGAGTAATTTCGGGTAGATTGGTGCTCTCTTTGTAAATTCATTCTTATTCTGGGCTCTCAACTCCTCTCTTGCTCTAAATGTGGTTGGTTTGCCAAATTTCCTGAAGATTTTGACCTAGCTTGCAGTAATTCAATTGCATGTAAGTAGGTGATGCTCTTCAAAGTGAGTGATCAGTGTTGCAATTTGGAAGAGATACGTGGTCATTGTGTGACGAGAAGGAAAAAGAATGATTCTCCAATAGTCGAATGATTTTAAAGTGTGCTGTTTGTTTGGCTCAAATCTTGTAGGTAAAGGTGTGGTCCCAAAATCGTCGAGCGAAGGAAAGGAAAAAGTGGAAAATGGGAATCAGTGGTGACCATAGTGCTCCTTCAATGCCAGAGTTCACAAATACATGTTCCGCAAATGTGTGCAGCAACAATGAAGTCAATTGGCACTATCAAACTTCAACTTATTCCTTCTATCACAATCCCACCCCACATGGGCCTCTACCTCAACAACCCTTAGGATTGGATCACATGGCAAATGAGAATGGCATTCCCGATACGACGTTCACTTGCTAATAACAACCCTCTTCCTATCCACCACCATATACTCATTCGAACGCTAATCCAAGCGCCTGTCCATACAATTCTTATTATTTTCCAAACGACATGGTTGCGTTTGACATATTTAATTTCTTTAAATTTCCCTTCTAGGATAGTAATTGCTTCCGACTGTGGGGTTTGCGCTTCTTTCGCTGCCCTGAAAGAGAGTTTTAATCAATTAAGAGGAGGGTTCAAATCTATGTTGAAAACCAAATCTCTTATTTTTGAGTTGAATTGAATAAATCAGTGCTTGATTAAGGTCTCCACTTCCAAATATTGTTCATGCTCCTGGTAACACTTAATTAATTTGTTCAAAGTCTTGGGATCACTGCAACTTGACCTTAGAGCTACTTAATTGTTACCTCTAATGTGATCCAATCAAGTAGATGAAATGTCAACTGAGTGGGTCTATTTGGGAGGTAAAGTTTGTATTGCGTGCTGCATTTGAACAGGAAGGGGAGGGGGAGGTCATTTGGGATAAAAGCCAGTTTAGAGCTCAAGACACAGTACAGAAAAGGTAAAAGAGTTTATGACTTTTAAAACTAAGGTTTAATCGCATGTTGAATTTGGATCTACTTCATTATTTATATTTT